TCTAGTATATTGTATTGTCATTATCACTTAATTGTAGAAACTGTCTAATTTCTTCTTTAATTTCATCTGTGACCTCATTGATTGTTCAGGAGGGTGCTATTAAATTTCCATGTGCTTTTGTGGTTTCTTTTGCCATTGATTTCCAGTTTCATTGCACTATGGTCTGATAATATGCATGGGATAATTCAATTCCTTTGCATTTACTTAAGCATGTCCTATGAGCTGGTATGTGGTCTAATTTGGAGAACCTCCCATGTGCAGCTGAGAAGAATGTATATTCTGATGTTGTGGGGTGGAACACTCTGTAGATACCTACTAAGACCATTTGTTCAAAAATTTGGTTCAGTTCTAATATTTCATTGTTGATGTTTTTGTCTAGTGGATCTGTCCTTTTTTTTTTTTTTTTGGTACTGGGAATTAAACTCATATTTCACGTGTCATGAAGGTACTGTGCCCCTGATATTTTCGTGACAGTAGTGTATTAAGATCCTTTGTTACAATTGTATTAGTACTTATTTGATTTTTTATGTCCATTAATATTTGTTTTATATAGTTGGGTGCACTGGTATTTGATACATATATATTTATGATTGTTATCTTTTCCTCTTGGATTGTTCCCTTTACAAGGATGTAGTGACCTTCTTTTTTTCTCTTAATCAATCTTGGCTTGAAATTCACTTTGTCTGCAAATTGAATAGCTATCCCTGCTTTTTTCTGGGTTCTTGTTGCATAGAATATTGTTTTCCATTGTTTGACTTTCAGTCTATGAATTTCTTTTTGAATTAAATGTGTTTCTTGCATGCAGCATAGTGTTGAATCTTGCTTCTTGATCCATTGTGCCTGTCTATATCTTTTGATTGGTGAATCGAGACCATTAACATTGATGGTTATAACTGATATGTAGTGACTTATCCTTGTCATGTTATTTTCCTGTTGTTGGCTCACTCTCTTTTTTCTCTGCCTCTGTTTAATTGTTTGCCTTGCTTGGTGTATTCCTTCTGCTGGGGTTCATGGAATTGTAATCCTTGTTATCTCTGTCTAGAATATCCTTCAAAACATTTTGGAGTGCTGATTTGGTGGTTATAAATTTCCTCAGATGTTTGTCATGGAAGTATCTTATTTCTCCATCGGTTTTGAAAGATAGCTTTGCAGAGTACATCAATCTGGGTTGAAGGTTGTTTTCCTTTAGAACTTGGAACATTTGACTCCAAGCTCTCCTTGACTGGAGGGTTTGTGCTGGGAAGTCAGCTGTGATTCTGGTGGGCTTTTCTTTATAGATGATTTGTTTCTTTTCCCTAACAGCTTTTAAGATTCTATTGTTGTGTGGAATCTCTGGAATCTTGACAATGATACACCTGACTGTAGATTTTTTTTGACTGTGGCTAATTGGAGTTCTATCTGTCTCATTATTTGTATGTCAAATTCCTTACCAAGGAAGGTTTCTGCCATGACAACTGTGAACAATTTTTAAAATATCATCTGTTTTATCTCCTGCTTTTTCATTGATCCCAATCAATCTTAAGTTATTCTTCATTGCCTCATCTAGCAACTGCTGGATTGATTTGTTATGGTTCCTTGCTATTTTTAAGAAATCTTTCTTTTCACGATTAAGCCTGTATAACCACAAGCCTGTCTTCTGTATCTGAGATCCTGTCCTCACATTGGCTTAATCTGCTGTGGATACTTTCAATGGAATTTTTATTCTGCTGGATATTTGCTTGAATCTGCCTTATGGATTCCATTTCCTTCCTATGCTGAGCATTCATGGCTTCCATAATTCTTCTAAGCTCCTCTATTTTTGTCTGTATCTGCTCTAGAGTGACTAAGCATGGTTTTAATTGTGGACACCATCTATGCAGTTATCTGAGAAATTATTTCTGATTTGATTTTTTTTCTAGAGCCTGATTCAATTGCTTTGTTGTTATCCCTTCAGAGAGGCCAGATGGGTGGCTTTTGGGTTGTCCCACCCCATTGCCCCCTGGGTTTCTGTTTGGTGATCTAGATGTCTGGGGTTGCATCTTGTTTAAGTGTCTTCTCATATTTTTTCCTTTTTAGTTTAATTCCTGAGGTGATGCTTATAAATTACTTATAAATTTAGTTTAATTCCTGGGGTGAGTTGCTTTATTGCTAGTATTTAGAACCCTTAGGAAATGACTACTTCTATAAGGTATCTTCCAGGTGGAGCTGTGTTTTGGGTTTTGAGTATGTTGCAGGATCCTATGTTTTCAGTTTGTTGGGAAGGAGAAGTTGCTGCCTGTTTGACCCAGCCCCTGGTTCTTTGGCACTGTGCCATAGTGTTTTCTGTGACCCTTAGTCAGTGGAATACCAGGAAGAATGGCTGTATAGAACAATTATGTCACTTTTGGCTATTGTGGTATCATCAGCCATGACAATAGCATTAAACACAAACTAGAAAATGACAAACTGAGATAACCATTAATTTGCCACCTTTAATGATATGAATTAGATTTGTGGTTACATAATGAAATCTAAAACAGACCAGAAAATTGTATGCAGTATACAAGTCTTTAATATGTCAAAATTTCCCTCAGGGATTAAAATTTAAAAAGGGTTAGGGAAAAATGGAGAAGTAGAAGAAGAGGAAGAGATTAAAATTAAGGCCAGAGGACAAAGGGGGATCACGCTAACTTTGGGAAACTGGTGCAGAAGACTGGAGGTAAAGAGAGAAGGAAGAGACAAAAAGAAGAACAGAACAGAACTACAACCACAAGGAGGCTACACAGAGACCACAAAAAGAACCACTCATATAAAAACAAGATCAAACAATGGAGATAAAAACAAACAAACAAAAACCAAAACCACCACCACCACAACAAAAAACAAGAGACAGAGAGTAAAAAAGAAAAAAGTCCACTTCCAGGTTTTTCTGTGTTGTCATTGGTAGACAGTGTGTGAAGATGGAGTCCCAATCCATGTTGATTTATCCCAAGAAGCCCACAGTAGCTTTTTGGTGGGGTAGTGGATAATCCCAGTGAGCCTGCACCTCCTGGCTGAGATCAGACTCATTCAGCCTGCACCCACCAGTGCACCTTCTGTGGGCCTGAGTCCAGCTGGGAGCTGCTGGGTGGAGCCAGCAGCTGCTCTGAGTTCTGATCTCAGCCAGCCTCTCTCCAAGATGGCTCCTGGCCAATTGCTGTCTCCCATGTGGGATGACTGAGCCCTCAGCACTCACCACCAGCTAGTGCAGTCCTTCATGTCCACTGCTCCTCTGCACTGCTGTGTCTCTCTGTGGAGCCCTCTGGGGTTGCCAGCAGTCACCATCAGTCTGCAGGTTTCAACTGCTCCTCTTGCGCAGTGAGTCCCATCTCAGAGAAGGCACTGCGGCCTACCTCCTCCACCTCCTTTGAAGTTTCTCTCTTCACTCTCTCTGTGGACTTCAATTCATGCTTCAGATCCTTCCTGGGTCCGAGGGACCCACAACCCTCATTCTTGTCTTCCTCACATTGCTGTATTCCAACATCTGGACGGTGACTGTCAGACTCTTTCTCTGCTGCTTACCACTCCGCCATCTTGGTACTCTCAGGCTTTTGTTTTAATGAAATCCAGTTTCCAGGTTTTCCCTTTCTTCAGTTGTGCTCAGCGTCACACCTAGGAAAGCAGAACAGTGAAGAGTGTATACGCTTATCTAGTTCATTTCTGTCTTCCTCAATCACGCCCCTGTACTTCTTGCTTGATGTCTATTGCTGTTTTTGGAGACAGGCTCTCCACACATTGCTAAATTCCACATTTCCTGCCTCAGCCTCCAAGTGCTGGGATTACAGGTGTGCACTTCTATATCTAGCTTCTTAGTACAAATTCTTAAACCTCACCCTGCAGTGTCAAACAGAAACACAGAAACATCACCCAGGATTTGGAGGCAGATTTATCTTTGATCAGTGGGCTCTGACAGGGAATCAATCCTCCCTCAAAATGTCAGGCCCTGATCTCCTGTACCATAAAGCTTGTATTTGCAAGCGAGAAGTACAGAAGCACAGTATTTGGTGGTCATTGATTGGTTACATCATAGCTCATTGTTACTGATTGGCCTAAAAGAAAACTACATCATGTATGTTGCAAATATGCAAATTCAAACTCTGGGCAAGCCAGGAGTTATGGGAAAGTGCTTGAGATAATGTATGGATTCAGGGTATAGTCGGCTCGCTAAAGGAAATATGTCCCTGGTGTTGGTGGAAGACAGGAAGACAGATCTGCTCAGGGGAGTGGCTAGTTGCAGGAAAGTTAACTCTAAAAAGTTAACTGTCTATTTTCCTGTCCAACCCTATGTTTTAAAATCCCAATCTATCCCTCCTCACTTTGGACAAATAACACAAAAGAAGAAAATCCAAATACAGTAAGAAAAAAGGGGGACAGTATCTTGGAATTCAGGTATTTCAAAAACTCCCAAATTACTTTTTTAGTTTTTAAACCATGAAAAGCATATGATGAGCCATGTATGGTGGCGCATACCTACAGTCCCAGTACTCTGGGAGGCTGAGGCAGGAGGATGGAAAATTTGAGCCCAGCCTGAGCAACTTCGCAACTTAGCAAGAGCCTGTCTCAAAATAAAAAAAAAAAGGGCTGGCGATGTAGCTCAATGAGAAGGCCCTGAGTACAACCCCCAGTACCACAAGCAAACAAACAATGGACACAGTGATTCATAGCAAAACCCTCCCCCTTTCTTTCTCCTTTGTCTCCCAGCCACTTTCCCACCTTCCTTTTCTTACCAAACTCCCTACATCCTCCTCCGTGGGTCTTAACTCTAACATCTCTTTTCCTTCCTTTGTACTATTCTCCTGTTTCTCTAATCCTCTCCCCTGCTCCTGTCTTTCTTGCTATGGCTCCAGGCACCTTGTTGTTGTCCCAGACGTCCTCTTGGGTGCAGGAAGTGGGAGAGGAGTGGAACGTGGAAGCTTCTCCCACGCGTGGCCAGGGGTGGTGAGGGTGAGCACTGCGCCCTTTGCCACTTCACCCTTGGTCTGCAGAGAGATTCCCAGGCCTGTCAGACGTGCTGCCCGCTGTCCACAGCCCAACAAGCTTCCCTCCCTGTTGGTGACACTGGATGACAGGATCTTTGGACTTGGGGACAGCAGGAACAAGACGGGGTCCACTCTCGCCAGCACACACGCTCTTCTTGCCCAAAGATTTGTTGGGGTAAGTTTACTGGGGCAGATTTATTGGCCGAATTGTTGCTTCGGCTGAAAGGGGAGAAAGGGACAAAGCTGCCTGCAGAACAAACAGTAGCAGGTTTTTACTGATGTCCTGCAGTTGGGCTAAAGTCCTGTAATTCCTCCAGGCCAGGGGTGTGGTTCCAAAACATGTTTCTTCTTGTGATGAACCTGGGCTGCCGTATAGTCACGGTCAACTTACTTGAGCAACTGCTGAGTTACTCTTTTTTTTTTTTTTTTTTTTTTTTTTTTTGAGGCAGGGTCTCGCTATGCAGTTCAGACTGGCCTTGAGAACACTTTGTAGCCCAGGCTGGCCTCGAACTCGCAACGGTCCTCCTGCCTCAGCCTCCCAAGTGCTGGGGTTGTGGGCGTGAACCAGCACGCCCAGCCTGCACGTAAATTTCACAGTGGGAAGAGTGAACTCTATTCCTTGTGGAACGCTTCTCTTCCGACCTTTCTCCAGGCGTCCCTCTTGAAGCTTGCGTCCT